TCTTTTGCATTCAATATGATGATTTGCTTATGAATGCATATTGTCTTCCCTTTGTGCGAGATGACAGATGTGTTCTTGTAAACACAGAGCTGGAGACCTTGGGATAGAAAAGCATTAGTGTTAAGACAATTTATTGTGCACTTGTTAATAGATGCTAATAGGGGTAAATTAATGTCTTGTTTTTGTTTTCTTGAACGTGTAAAAAAAGATGGAGTTAAATTTAGGAAAAATAATGACATACAAGATTCCGCCATGTTTTTTTTGGGACTTTGATTAGCTGGAAAACAGAAAACACCTTTACAGGACCCAAAAAGGGTGACTTAGGGGTTAAAGAGAACCAACCTTAAATCATTTGACATTCAAGGAAATGTATTAAAAGATATAAGGTAATAAGGAAATGTTAAAGTGTGACTATATCTACCGCTGATTCAAAGATAGTTTATTAAAGTCCTACTCAGCACATAGGTCTGTTTCATTCACTCTTCTAAAGGCCTGATCCATCCCTAAAGCAACTCAAAACAACAGTGAAAAAATATGGTGTTGAATGGTATAAAGAGAATTCACATTAGACGATCAACATTCAGGCAAAATCATTCAGGATTTCAATTTCATGAGAAAACAACGAAACCTGTAACTCACAGTTAAAAGTGCACAACTATGAATATATGCAACTCAGCCAGGCTTAAACCATATTATTTATCTCTCAATGTAATTAAATTAATATATTTACCTAACAATTGCAGTAAATGTACAAAAAAAATAGTAAGACATTTATGCATAAATGTAAAGTTAAATGGCAACAATGTTCCAAGATAGACAAATCATTTCAGTGTTTGATACATATATAAAAATGTATTTGTTTGATATATATATATAAAAGTGTTTGATACATATATAAAAATTGAATTAAAGGAGTTTTTAATATCTTTAAATGAGCCAAATGTCACATCATACTTTCTTTTGCTTCTACAAGGTTTTGTCTGATAAACCATAAGGATGAAAAGCTATGATGAGGATTTGAAATTTTATTTAATTTTAAATGGCAGATTTTCCAGAGAACGGCTGAGTATTTTATAATGATACGTAGTATCTGTTCAGTTTGGCTTTTACCCAGCTTTTCGTAATTAGGATCATTCGTTCTTAATGAAAAATCATTCACTTTTAGTATGGGTTTAAGTTATTTGATTTGTTTATTCTTATTAGTTTGATCTTTGCTGCAATAAATTAAAGAATACCTTTGGTATTAATAGAAATTTAGCTATTATTATTTGTGATCTTAGCTTTAAGACATGTATTTAAATTTTAGAATCTATGCATTTTAGTATATACCGTAGTTGTTTCCTTTAAATCAACATTACCTCTGTCAGCTATACATTTCTGTATGTTCTCTAAAAATTACCTGTTTTAGCCTTTACAGTTTTTATTTTGAAATAATTGCTGTTTTTTTATTATGTTGTTACATTATCTTGTTTTCATTTGATAAAAAGCGTTTCTTTTATCCCTCAATGCTTATGGAAAGCACAGACTGATTGATTAAAGGGTGATGCTGTTTGCAAAGAATCAAATCAGCTTTGATTATGTAAATCTATTAGCAGGCTCCTATCCACCTCATTTTAACGCACATCCACAAAATACTAATTATTTTGAATCAATTCATCGTGTTTAATTTGCTTCATTTTTTGACTTTGAAACAGATCTCTAACAAATCACATAGGAGGAAGAAAACTCGTTCAGGGTTAAAGAACAGTTAAGAAAAAGGTAGATTGAATGTATATTTCTTTTACAGAAAAATGTTTGTCTGGTTTATGAAAAAATGGTAATAATGAAAATAAACCTGTGGGCCATGCGGCAAAATGTGCAAAATCATTTTTAATGCTTTGTTGTTGATATAAGAACCATACAAAAAATGGATATAAAGATGACCCAGAAATGGAATTAACTAATCTATGTCAGTCACAGATTATTTAAAACAATGGATGACACAGAAATAAATAATAAAGAAATGAAATTAACAGGGTGATTTTTACCTTTCTGAAATATATATATTTTTTTTATCTCTGCGAACAATTATGGGGGGTTGGACTAACAAAGTACCACATAGGGCTTCAACTAAGGATTAGTTTGCAAATTGATTAATCTGATTTTTTTTCAATTAATAATCAGATAGCCAAATATTCCTTAAAGAACATTGATAACAAAATTAAACCAGGTGAAATTAAAACTTTTCCAAGGTTAATTATTAGTTAATAACCAGTTAACGATTAATTCATTACCAAATTAGGTGATTAGTATTTCAATAACCCATTGATCATGATTAATCCGATTAATTGTTTCGGCCCAAATACCCCTTCTGCTAAACAGGCAAGATGACACTATTAAGTGAAGCCAAACAGGTCTGTGCTAAAGACACAAAGGTTTGGTGAAGCAACAACAGTTAAGCAGGTAGGGCAGCAATCACCACTAGAACAAATTGAAAAGCTCATTTGCGTGCCCATATTTGGTAAAGCCTAAACCAACATAATGAACAGATTATGTGTTTGACTAAGCCCTAAGAATTAGGGTTTTTTTTACATCTGCATCCTGCTTAACAGTAAATCATAGATTTAAAAATAAAATGTTCTTAAATGAGGAAGGGAAGATTATTGGCTTATAGTTTCACCTGTAAGAGTGACCTCTATCAGAGAGATTTAACAAGAAATGTTTGTTTATGTTACTTTCTAAAAATACCAGAAATGTCAACATTCAAGTTACCAAATACATTGTTAGCAAACAGTAGAACACTACTAGGTAAAAAAAGATATTGCATTGTTTATTGAATGTACGTTTATTTAAAACTTCTCTCTAGGCAGGTAATATGCATAATGTTTGATATACATTTGGTAAAAAAAACAGCTACTGTCTAACTTCATTGTTTCTGGTAGAAAAGGTTTTAGTCATTGCCCAGGGTGTGATCTCAGCAGGGAGGCACAAAGAAGACATATTTTTAATTTCTTTCAAAACACACACAGCAATGCATAAACTATTACACGACCAAAACTTTTATGACACTATTTGTCATATTTTGGATTTATTTAATTGAAATGCGACCCAGATATAAACAAAATAAACGCCTAATAAAGACTGCCAGTACACAACAGAGGCCCGTACACATTTATGAAAGTTATTTTGCCATGTTTATAAAACTCATCCAATGTGACATTTTAATATTTCCCTAAAAAAAATGAAAAACATAAAACAACATTAAACCTGAACCATTTTGCTCTGATCTCAGAGTTGAATGCATATTAAAATATTGGAAATGTCATATCACCGTTATTGGATAAAATTATTTTGCTATTGATATTGAATTATTGTCAAACCATAACCATAGAAAGTAAACAGTTATGTTATAATTATGTATAGTAAATATGGAAAAAGGCAATAATCAAAACGCACAATTATAACTGGATTCCCTGCACATCATATAATATTATTTCCTTTTTATATCAGGAAGTGTTCGGCTAGATTTATTCATATATGATAGATTAAAACTAGATAAAAAACAGACATGAACCAACATGTCAACTTGTTATATCCATACTCTGCTGTGCAGCATTCATAGCAGCAGAAAGAAGAGCATTGACTTAGTTTTTAGATAAACAATCTAATAAATGATTAACAAATCTGTATAGCTTAAAAAAAGAGGAGCAGGATACTGATCATAAACACTGATGAATAAGTAGGGGGAAAATATGACTGTACACCACTTATTACTGGTTAGTTATTGTATATAAATTAAAAAGCAAAACTGATACTGTTTTATTAAATGCAGGATTTCATTTCATTTAAACACATTTTATTGTTTTGTTTCTACTAACATATAAAATATATAATTAGAAATCAGGAAATTTAAAAACAGAACAGAAATTATAATAATAGATTTCATAGGGCCCTAAACAATATTCTTACAAATCAAAAAAACTTAAATTAGCATCATTGTTGGAAATTAATTTCAACAAAACATTAATCAATCAATCAACTTAAGCTATTGCTGCTTGAAGAATTAGAAGCACTTTTTCCCCCAATAAGAACATGGGTATTTGTTTTGTTTTTTGTGTTTAGTTTTTGTTTTTTTAATATATCATTATTAATACCAACATATCAATTCAATTCAGTTTATTTATATAGCGCCTATTCACTCTACATATCAGTGGCCCCCATTTGGCTGCTCCTTTAAAAACCTTCTGTGCACACCCCTGTATAGGTCTCGTGACTCCTTATATTTATGGCAAAGAAAGCAGGGCTTGTCCGGGGAATGCAAGAACTGATTTTGAAGAAGTTTAGGATCCTATGTTCAAATAGAAATGTCTGCAGAAATGTTGATCCCCTCAACTAGCTCCATGTCTTCTGAAGCCCATAAAAGCTAGAGGACAATATGTCCCCTCATCCTCCAGCCTGGAAATCCTCGGAAGAGTAACAACGCTTTGCAGGACCATAAAAAGGCCTTAGCTTAAGGGTGAGAAAATCATGGAATGAGTCAAAAAACAGGCCTCTGAGTGACCTCCTGCAGCCTACATAATAAATCAACAGTGCAACATGTGGTAGAAAAGCAAGCCTGGCTTCATGTGTGTTCAGGATCAACATAAGCAATGCAGAGCAAAACAAGGCTCAATGTTAAGTTAAGATTTTAGAGGAAAGAAAAGAAGAAAAACACATGCTGGCCGACATGTTGGCTGGCTGGGTGTCAAGCAAGCTCTGCTGTCCATTAAGGGCCAAAGTGTGAAACTAGTGGTGTCAGAGCCACACAGGAGAGAGGGAAGCAAGGAGGGAGGGGGGGCTGATCGCATGTGGCCAAAAGAGGAAACACAGTAACATGTTTGGCAATGCAAAACATCCGGATCACACAATATAACTCTCTTTTTGGAGGGGGAAAAAAAACTATATATGTGGGAAATGTCAATTCTGTTTAGAATTAGAAATCAGCTGTTTATCTGTTTATGTTAAATTGTTTTTTAACTTACTTGGTGGACGAAAACATCCAGAGGAGGGTCTACGGGGTTCCCTTCGCTGTTTGTCATTGATATAAATCCAAAGCCCATCCGGACGTTGAACCACTTGCAGAAGCCTGATCCGGACAGGATCTGGGTTCGGATCCTCTCCTGCTGCTCGCTGGACTTGGCGGGATCCTCTCCGCCGCCACCTTTACCCGGCCCTCCTAAAAAAAAAATAATAATAATAATTAAAAAAAAAAAAACGGGAAATTAGAGAAGCATCTTTTCTGCTTGCATACACTCCTTTTATACGAGTCCCATAAGATACATTTTTTAAAAATGAGCTTAAAAGCAAGGGAAAAAGCGGGGATTCCCCCTATAACTTGAAATGTGAAGTTCACGGACGGTAGAAAATTTCTAAACTAATATGTTTAATTAAGAAAAATGCGGCGTATGTCTCAGAAAAGTTGTTAATCGGTGACAGATGAGTGCATCTGCTGCTGCATCGTGCACAGGCATGCTCTGTGACTTATGAAGGGGGGGCTTTTCTGTCCTGTCACGCATCTACAACCCAGTTCCTGCTGTGGAGTTGCAAAGAAGGAGGAAAAAAAAGGCAGGTGTACACATGGGTTGATCGAGCTTTTACTACACGACCACGCTCTAACAATGCGCGTATGTGAACGCAGCCAAACATGGTTAGACACGGTGCTCGGCAAGGGGCGCGTCAGTTTGATTTTCCTTCTGTTTTCAGAGGGTTTGCAACAATAATCGCGCTGCACCTTGCCTCCCCTGCACCTCATCCTCCTCGCTTCGCGTTAAAGAGTGGATTCATATTTCTAGGTACGTCAATAAATGATAATAATTGCAGAATAACCTTCGGCCATGTTTCCCCGCGGACCCTGAGCGCCCAAGTTGCGATAGAGAAGCTTCCTCTGCGGTCTTCACCATTAATCCGACATCCTCTATCCCGTCGGTCGCCAGTTTGGCTCGCATGGTACAGCGTGCTTTCTGCCTTTTGATATTTTTGTCATGTCTTTCTCTCTTCCCTCGGATCCCTTCCTCTCTCACACCACCTCTGTTCTCGCTCTATTCCTCCTCCCTCTCCTCCCTCTCTCTCTCTCTATTCGCTCTCCTGCTGGCTGTGCCCGTTCCCGTAGTAAGAGCACGTGACTTTGTCAATTACTTTTTTTTTGTCGCAAACTTCCACCTCTACAGATAAGAACAACATCCATAACAGTCATCATAAAGTGATCATATATATTCCAGTTATGATAGATGCCCCATCCCTATTATAATGGGCTGGTGTGGCAACCATGAGTCTATTATGCACTCAGATTAGATTAGATTAGATTAAATTATGCTTGGATTAATGTTGGGGGCAGTTGGGTGGTGATGGCAACAAGAATAACACGGAAAAAAACAAGAAATACATCAGAAACACATGTAAATGATAATGATAATGAAATATGGGGCCATTACCTACATCAAGGATGGGATTTAAGGTGGTAGCTGCTAATTATTTTTTCCAGTCATACTTTTCTGAGAGTTTAAAGCCATTCTAAACAAGATGGCAGAGGAATTTTTCAGTGATATATTTTTCCTGCCTTTCTAGTGGAGTGGCATCATTTTTGCCTTTTCCTCCACCTCACTGCAAAAAAAAATTTGGAAATCTTAATAAGTCATTTTTACTCAAATTAAGTGCATTTTTTAATTGAGGAGGTATGTTGGACACTTTTCCAATGAAACAAGACAATTTACATTAAAAAGAAGAAAAAAAACAATTGTTTTGTCTTATTTTAAGTGTATATTATCAAATTATCTTATTTTAGGTGTAGGAGCAAATAATTTTTTGTTAATGATTAAAAATGTTTTTTGTGCATAATCTATCCAAGTTTATTTTACTTTATTGTTTAATATCTGTTATTAGATTATGTATTTTGGTTATTTAGTCATGTTCCTTCATTTTTAGTTAGTTATGATTAATTTAGGTTAATTATTTTTTATAAATAGGCAGTCAAGCGTAGGACCAGCATGCATCTGGGTGGGCGTATGGTTTTTTACCAGTGCAAGAGAAACATGGAGGAAATGTTTGTCTTTTTTTGTTTGCTTGCCTGAGGAAAAAAATAACTGAGAAAACTAAAGGTGTTTACCTAGAGCATTTTTTCTGTTGCCTGCGTAAAATAAGTCCATGGTGCATTTGTGGCGTTTGTAGGTTTCCACCTTTTTGTGTCATCAAAGCTGGGCCATACATTAGGAGTAAAAATACTAATTCCATTGGCAGATCATCTTATTTACCTGCTCAAATTAAGGGTAAATACACTTCATTTAAGAAATGTTTTACTTATTTGTAGATGTTTTTTTTTTTGCAGTGCTGTTACTCCTACAAGAAATGCAAATGTGTCCTTAAATATTGTATATAGAGAGTAATGCAGGGGGAACTTTTCTCCTATGTGTTGCTGAGCACTGCCTTATCAGCTGGCTGAATACAGTCTTCATTACAGTTTATTAGGACCCAATCAGGTTCTTTGATTATATTTATTTATGGTTAAAAACAAAACCGTATTTTGGGTGGAAACTAAAGTAAAACACTGTCTCTACTCTATCTGTTGCTGCATATATCTCAGTCATTTGGCAAACAGAAAGGTTTTTCCCCCTTATTAGCATTTGGAAAATTTGAAACAGGTATTTCTGGTTACAGAAAAGTTACAGAAAAAAACAAGTTGAGGAAACTAAAGGCTATATGATAAAGAGGAGCAACACTGCCTCTACCTGATCTAATGCTGTGCACTGCCCCATCAGCTGACTGAAAGAAGGCTCCGACAGTTTGCGTTTGCTTAATAGACAGATTTAGCTGTTTGGACAAAACTGCCTTTAAAGATGTGAAAAAGAAGTAAATGAGCCAAGCAGCTCCATCCAGTATTGTTAATTTAATTAATTAATTTAAAATGTAACCTGTTTAGATCTTTATGCTCTGAAGTCCCCTGAATGTAAAAGGAGGAAAAAGTTCCAGAAAGACCGAGATTTTTTTACTGGGTCATTGAAGCACCAGTGTGCCCAACCCCCACCTGTTGCTTCATAGTGCCTGCTCAGATGGCTGAAAGAAATGTTTCTTTCTTTCTTTTTTTTTAAATGCCTGTATATTGTTTTCCAATTTCTTCAGATATATGCCAAAAATATATTTTTTAAACAATCTGCGTGGAAATACTTGAGGCTTCTGAAAAAATATAGGTGACACAGAGAGAGCCCCAATCATCACTGTTCGCTCCTCACTTGAAAACTTCCCCCTATGTCCTGTAGTTTTCCCAAATTGCACCTACAAAATCTTCTACATGATTTTCCAACCGCTCCTGTTTAGTGTGTTTTCTGGACTGCAGAGCTCCAGCTCCTTGTTCAGCACAATATTTACTTTAAAATTCTGTACTGAACTTTCATCATCCTGCAATAGAGCTTTTTAGGTTACTGAATCACTAAAGCTCTATAACCATCAGGTCAGTTAAGATGGTTGCTATGGGCTTGTTATTGCTCCAATATTAAGAATAAAACAATAAATAAAATAGACAAACTTCAGATAAAGCACCTACACTCTTGAAATTTTACTTTTTTCATTATGTGGACTAACTGAACTTGTTCAAGAAGAAACTGTTAATTAATGGGATTTTAATTCATTTTACTTAAGTGTCATTTATTTAACCAAAGGCTTTTTATTTTTATTTCTTTAGTATTAACAGATTTTTTTTGTAAAGCTCCTTAGCATTCTCATCTTGAAAGACACTTATATTACTAGGGGGTGTCTGAAATTATTTTTTTCCTAAAGAAGATTAACTGTCAATGTCTAAAAATTATACAATCTCTTCATTCCTGAGACACTTTTTCTTGCAAAAATCACATTAAGAGTTTGGTCTGACTGTAAATCCAAACATATGAACAATGCTTCAGATACACAAATAATACAATCCCATTGACATAAAGGCAAACAATCTTCCCTCTTTCACTCTGATTTGAATCTAAAATGACAGCTTCTGATGAGGGAATTTGAGACCAAAATAAACTTGACATTTATTTAAAACCTGAATTTTAAACTTAAAGAAAAATACAAAGAGAACAACAGATCATAGTAATTTAAAACAAAGCACGAGCTCATGTTCTGAACACTCGATGACTAACCTCCCAGCATCCTTGTGGGCACCAGAGGAGAGCTGAACTCACAGCTTTGGAATGTGAGCAGAAAACTATGGAAAAACAAGCCCGAAAACTGTCATTTCTGATCTCCACTTAATCATTTCTGTCTTGACCATCTTCAGTCTTTGTAAATATCCCCAGTAAGTTAGTTTTCTTTTGCACCATATCTTTACTAGATCAACTTTAAGCAGGTTTCACTCTTAGCTATCATTATCTCTGGCAGATTTTGCATAACTTGAACAATTATTTTGTTCATTTTTTGTGTTTTTTTTTAGCTTAAAAACAGAACCCTGCTGAAAGAGAAAGAAGGAGGGAAGGTTGCAGATCCTCAAGGCCGTCCACCAGCTTGAAAACAACAAGCATGAAAAATAGTCTGCTCACGGAGAAACTCCCCCCACCTTATCTCACACCTAACCCTGGTAGGACGTTTCTCAGGAGGTTATTCCCGGTTGTAAGGAGAGAGGGAAAAACATGTCGGAAGGAATGAAACAAAAACAAGCCCTTAACCCCACCCACCCAGCACCAAATAGCCCACCCTCCAGAATTCACAGGCTTGGCCCCTACCCCCAGCCCAGCCCAATCCAATCCAAACCCAGCCCAAAGCCCACCCCCCTCCATGGAAAGGCCCTGTTTTTGAAGATGCTTGTGGTGGAGGCCTCTGCAGTCACCACAGAATTATGGTTGGGGTCACAGGGTTGGATACCAGTGTCAGATGTGATCCACTCAATCATATCCCCGACAGCTTTCTGATCATCAAAGGTCGGAGGAGATCACCTCAGCGCTGTTCGCTGAGGTGTGAAAGAAAATTAGTATTTATGTATGGGAAGCTTATGTTCTCACTTTCTGGTAACAAGAAGGTATAAGATAAAAGGAACCTTAATGTATATTTCAAGACAAATAGAAATAAAAAAAATAAATAAATAAACAAATAATCTATAAAGAAAAGAAAACCAAGATTAAGGTGGATTTTTCTCCTTTTAAGCTTTAATTCAGCCCAACAATGGTCATTTCTCTATAATTAACATCAACTACCAACAGAATAGCTAACCGTTACATGATGTAAAAAGCAGTTCTTCTTTTACATGTATGTTTGCTTTCCTAAATAAAAAAAATAAAAAAACATTTGATTCTTTAATTATCTGTTAAATCTAAATATTTTCCTCAAACTTAACATTACCTCTTTTTCCTTTTAGTAAAGCTGAATTAAATACACACACACACACACACACACACACACACACACACACACACACATATATATATTTATATATAAATAATTAAGGTTTTTGTGTTTTAGAATGAACTTATTTGTAGCCTGACAGTTCTGAAAGAACAAAAGCAGAAAACCATTTTTTTTTTTTTAGATATTATTATTTTTTTGTGTGTGAACTAAAAGAACAACAAAAATTTACATTTTAATCTGCATTTAAGGGCTGGGTTGAGTTAAACTAATGAAAGCAGAATGCTGAACATGAACAAAATCCAAAGACTTGCTAAAAAAAAATCTAAAGAACTAAACTCATTCTTAAAGGAGAAAAATCTTTATTTCATAATATCTATGCTTAGTATTAGATTTACAATTTTGAAAAAAAAAGAATACAATTTTATATCACTTTAACACTCAGCATTGATTAATCAAGACCCCTCCAAACAAAACAGGTTGAGATATTACAGCGTATTATCTCATTTGTGTGCTTATAGTCATTTTTAAAAGATTTTTCTAAAGCTGCATCTTTCTTTCTATGTAATTATAATAGGATCAAAAACATTTTATGGAGTTGAAGGAAGACACCTAATAATCACCATTAGGAAATGATTGAATATTAAAAATCTTGTTCTGTTTGAACATGTCAATATATTAATCAATGTTTTTATTACTTATCAATCTTGGTTTCGATGAGTTTA